GTTCTCTGCTTGATTAAGTTGGGCCCACCTACATAATACAGGATAATTCCTGTATTTTAATGCACAGAACCTTACATTTGCAAAATTTTGTGGTAAAATATAACACATTGACAGTTTCCAGGGATTGTGGTGTGGACATTTTACAAGGAGTCTGTTGTCTTGCCTATCACAAGGGCCTAGGAGTGTGGCTGCATCAGAGATGGTCGTATTTGACATTGAGTGGCAAGAAAGAAAGGAGGGGAGCAGGCCAGGAATGGGAACCATGCCCCAGAGGGCAGACCCTCAGGTGAAGAAAGGGGCCCTGGCCTGAGAGGGGCTCCTCTTTTTTTCCTCTTATTTTTTCCATTCCCCTAAGGAACTAATACTTATGAGAGAAACCTCAGAGAGCAAAGATTTAGAACAACTCAGAACTGATATGGAAAGTGTTTCTAAAATATTCTGTATATATGGGCTACTTATTTGTAAAATTTTGTAATGAATGTTTTGAAAATAAAGATGCATTTAGCTACAATTTCCCATTTAGGGGTGACTTTTGGGATACCCTATGATCCTGCAACCCCACTTCTGGGTTTATATCTAAAGCAAATGAAAGCAGGGTCTTGAGGAGAGATATTTCTACACCCATGTTCACTGCGGCACTCTTCACAGTAGCTGAGAGAGGGAAGCAGCCCCGTGTCCATTGACAGATGAATGGCCGAACGAAATGTGGTTCACACATACAGTGAAATCCTGGTCAGGTCTTATAGAGGAAGGGCATGCCGACACAGCTGCAGCTTGGGCAAAGCTGAGCACTGTGTTCTGTGTAATAAACTAGTTACAAAATGACAATTACTGCACGACTGGCTTACATAAGGCATCTAGTCAAACGCCTGGAAACAGAAGGTACAGTGGTGGTTGGAAATGAAGGGGGGAGGAACAGGGGAGGTACTTAATGGGTACGTCTTTCCATCCGAAGCGAAAAAGTCATGGAGCTGTGTTTCAGAACAAGGTGAATATTCTCATCACTACTTAACGTGTACTTAGAATTGGTTAAAACAGGACGTTTCATGTTGTTTTTTTAACCATGGTACAAAAGAGAAGCCCTTTCACATTCCCACTCTGAATATTCCGTCACAGAGTTTTACCTGTCCTCTTTTTCTCTCTTGTGCACAAAAGCACACGCATACACAAACAAGCGACCGCGTCTGCCTTTCTACTACTGTGGCTTCGTCTGTGGTTACACGTGTGGTTAGTCGAGTTTATTATTGTGACATGATCAAGTGCAATTTCAGTGTATTACCGTTGAAGATTAAAAAAATGGCTGGATCCCATCCGGGATGTTGCAACCCTCCTGTTGTGTCAGATGAGTACAGAATCCTTGTTGCATCAGTATTTCCTTTGTTTGGAAATAGCTGAATATCTCTGTTTAGGCGTATGTTCTACTACGTGGTTCTTGATGAAAAGCCCTGATATCTTATTAGTTTGTACTCCTTGGCCTCAGGGTTCCTTGTCATATGTTGCTTTTAGGTCCTCAGCGAGCACTCGGGCAGCCTCCAAATCAGAGTGTCTTAGAACTCATGTTCTTTCTTAAGAAACCACAGCAGTGTTTTTTCTGCATGCACCTTCTACAATGCTGAGTTCTTCACTTCTTGGTCAAATAGCAACTTTTACAGAATATTAATAAATGCAATTCCTGTTTGTTTGAAGTCTCTAATTAGAATTTTTGTTATGGTACTAACATTTTTCTAAATTAACTTATAATTATTGTCCTCCCCGTGAACTGTCCTTACCATGCTGATCTGCTGTACATTCTTCCCCCACACTAAACGCCAGTTTACAAAATGAGGAAGGGGAATATAGGGCTGCTCTGGCAGTAAGGAATGAAAGAAGTTTATAAAAATATGTGATATAAAAGCCATACCTGTCTTGAAGTTCATCCCAAATGTAGTTAAACAATTAAAGTAGCCAGAACTTCCTGCGGCAGGCTGTAGTGGGAGCAGAATGAAGGCAGGCCAACCGCAATCCCACTGCTCCCTGGGTAGCTCCCTAGTTGATCGAAAGGTGTACTCTTGAAGATGGCCTTGAGTGGGTTACTTAGTCTCTCTCCTCCTCAGTTTCCAGTGACCCCCTCAAAGTCAATAATTCATTCAGAATGGCTCACAGGACTCCCTGAAGATACTAAGCTTACAATCGCAGGACTGTTATGAGGGACACACATGGGGGACATTCTGGAAGGATCTTGAATCCAGAGCTTCCGTGTCCCCCCTCCGTGGAGTCAGGGTGCATCACCATCCTTGCATATCCACTGCAGGCTCCTCTGAGCTTCTGTGTCCAGAGTTTTTGGGGTGCCATTACATAGGCACCGATTGGTTAAATCATTTGCCACGTGACTGATCTCCATCTCCAGCCTCCCTTCTGTCCTCAGTTTGGCTGACCCTGTAATTGCAAGGCTGGCCTTTCTGTTAACCTGTCATCCTGAGTTTATCTAAGGGCCTGCTGTCAGTCACCTCGGCAGCTAACACTGACACTCCCATCACTCAGGAAATTCCAAGGGATTTTGAAGGTCTGGGCCAGGAACCAAGGT